AGAGAGAGAGAGAGAGAGAGAGAGAGAGAGAGAGAGAGAGACCAAAGATTTAGTGGTTGCCAGTGGTGGGAGGAGGGGAAAAGGGGATGCTTTTGTTTGTGGATCATTGAGTTTATGTTGATGGTGGTGGAATGTTTTGGAAAAGGATAGCAATAATGGTGGCACAGCTTGAAAAACGCCATCAATGTCCCTGAGCTGTAAATGGGGAAGTTGTTATGTTGGTGAATGTCTTGTATATGTTTTCACCACAATAAAAGTAAAAAAAAAAAATTATAGCAAGGCATATTTTCTTAGGTTTCTTTTAAAGCCATATTCCATCAAGTGAGTTATCATTTTGCTTAAGATAAGTTATAGTTTGTAGATGACTCAGTTTACACTACATCAGTCTTAGATATCTGTGAGTTGTTTGAGGCCATTAATTTATCCCTCTTTTTTCTCTCCCTTTCTTCTGTCCATCTGTTTGTCCATCCATCCATCCATCCACCCAATTATTGAGCACCTTTTACATGCCAGGCACTAGGCTATGGCTTTTTCCATAAGAGGCTCAATTTACACCTTCCACCTTCTTAAGTACCACGTGGTTATTACCCTGTGCAAGTAGAGATATTTATTGTCATCATTAGGTATCATTTTGTAACCATCCACCTCCAAAAGCTTCACAAATCTCACATTTAAAGTGAACATGTGTCATTCGGAACAGTTTAGAAAGAGTAACTGACAAAAACAACCAAAGTGTTAAAGATGGCTCATAGTGATTTTAATTCCTTAGGCAAGAATACTTTTGTTTCTATTTTACAAAAAACCCACAGAGCTTTCTAAACGTACCTGAGAGTCATAGTGACTTGGAGGGATGTACATATGGGAGGGAGGTAATATCTTAAAAATAACAGAATCCCAGATGCTCTGCCCCAGGTTCTGATCAGTTGGTTTGAAGATTCACATGTACTGTCCAGGTACAGGAGCCCTGATGGCACCGTGGTTAAGTGCTTCTCTGCTAACTGAAAGGTCGATGGTTTGAACTCACCAGTCACTCTGTGGGAGAAAGATGTGAGAGTCTGCTTCTGTAAAGGTGGTAGCCTTGTAAACCTTGTAGGCCAGTTCTACTCTGTCCTATCAGATTGCTGAGTGGGATTTGTCTCAGTGGCAATGGTTTTGGGTTTGGTTTTGTCCAAGTAACTCTCATGCAGCCAGTCTTCCACGCACACATCTGGAAACCATGGCTGTGGTGGGCATCCTAAAGTGCATAGATAATTTTCGTTGTTTCTGACTTTTGTTTACTGAATGACAGAGTCAGGGCAGCTTCGTAATGTTGCATTGTTTGTGAGCACCTCTTTAAGGAGGCAAGTGAGCGTTGAAATTTGGCCGGTCTTCCACTTGACAAGCTGTGTGACACCTTTTTCTAATTGGTTTTGTTCATATCGGGGACCTTGTTCTCATTGGTTTTCCTAAAGACCACCTTTTTCAATTTGGACAGAGGTGCCCTGTAGACTAAAGGTAGCCCTTAATAAAGTAGACCAAACTGGTACACTGTGGCCTACATTCAACCTATTGGCATTTAATTGGACATTTTCTGATATTTGTAATTTTAATCTGAAAATCCAGATGTCTTTGGAAAAGTGGAATGTCTGGGCACACAGGCCCGACATTCTCACATCTCTTGGGTCTGGAGGTGCTGGATGGGGAGGGGTGCCTCCCTTAAGTGGGAGATATGCTTTTCTGCTCAAGTCCCCACTACTCCATGTTGCCTTACACTCAGCCCAACCTCACCTATGTCAGTGACTTTCCTGGCTTGTGTGGATGACCACGTTTGCAACCCCTGAAGCAGACTTTGACATTTGGGAGAAGTACACCACCATAGCCTTTCATGCTCCCAGATTCTTGGAGGCCACTGGAACACATAGCTTCCTAAATGTCCACAAGCATAGATCATAGATCCCGGGAGGCAAGTGTCTTCTTCTCCACAGCAGCTTGGAATAAAGCACATTTAGGTGGCTCAGGTTTGTGCTGGAGACCAAATCCTTAGATTACTCCAAGGAGGTCAAAACCTTTCCATGAAGTCTGACAAGCTCAAGGGTCTTGGTAAATCCCATTCTTTTATATCTTATAGGCAGTTGCAAAGTTGTTATAGATGACTTCCTAGAATGGAAATGTTTGGTAATACATTACTAGCTTGGCCCATGTAATAGGTTATCTGCAAGATACAGACCAAGTAGTAGAGAAATAAAAGGGATTTGGTAGGAAAACGCTATTTATTCAGCTCTACAAATTGGTTCAAAATGGTTTGCACTATGTTGTTGTTGTTGTTAAGTGCCGTCGAGTCGTTTCCGACTCATAGCGACCCCATGCACAGCAGAACGAAACAC